TGGGTTGAGTACCAGTTTGTTAGCTCTCATCCAGTTCTTAACGGCCTCAAGACCCCGGTTCATCACGTCCACCGCAATGTTAGTTTGCTGTAATCTTACTGAGTAGCATGGTAGGCTGGAGGTAAAGATCCCACTCAGAAGGTTAAGAATTGAAAGTTCAATCCTAGGCAGCAGCAGGTGTCTTTCTATCAAAGCACAAAGAGGAAATATCTGCTGTGAACTCTACAGGGGTGTCAGGAAGGGCATCTGCCCAGTATTTGTTTGCCTCAACTTCACTCTGTATAAAAGGATTAAAGGGGCATAAGAAAAAAAAGAATTTTACAACAAAGTTATTGTTAAACTCATGATAGGTACTTCTTGTCTGGACTACCTTGAAAGGCTGATACGATTCTTGCAAGTACATCTCTTTGCCTGCCACCCCTACCTCCACTTCATCCCACCTTACCACGTGCTTTCTGTCACATTGCTAATCTCTATCTTGCCTCTGTTGTCTCTGTTTCCAGGCATTGAAGTCAGTTGTTTTCACTCCATGGTGACAAAACCTAACAGTGCGAAGAAATAGATAATTAATATTTGTCACCAGTGTTTACTTACATCAATCTAATGGATAAGAGATCTAACCATTCAGGACAGTATGGAAGTGCCAACTTCTCACCATTTAAAGGTATTTATAATCTTATTTTCTTGGAAGCTCTTATTTCCTCTCTCACTCCACTTTAGAGTGCCACAGTGCTCTGATAGTTATTTGAGACTGAGGCACTGCTAAATGACTATGGTGTAATGTTGCTACTGCCATTGTAAGTGGATGAAGAAAGGAAAAATGTGAATTTCTCTTCTCTTTGGAGAAATTCAGTGAAATAGTCACACAAAGTTTTGTGTCCAAAAATAGAGCAAAAAATGTTTAGAGACCCCAATTCCATAAGAAAAGAGCAGGTTTTCATGTGCACCAGCAGACTGCCCACACATTACAGAATGGAAACTTTCCTTTTCGAAATTGCAAATCAGATTTTGAGATGTTGCTGCTCATTAGAAGCCATGGAGCAGGAGAAGACACAGTTGGAGACCCTTGGAATTCATGTAGACCTCAGTCTACTTTCATGTGGCCTTCAAAAGACTTTTGCAAGAAAGTGATTCTTACTATCCAGTCGGTAGTGTAAGGAGAAAGGAAAGGCATATTTAGGCAGGCAGTCAGGTAAAAGATTCTTTAGTGCAATTCCATGTTGGCACATTATATGGTCCTTATTCATAATACCAATGAAGAGAGGTATAAGTAGAGAATATTTACTTATCTTATCAGGGAACAGTCAAATCAGTCCTGAGTAGCTGTGTGGTATTCTCACAATGCCAATGGCTTTTTCCTGGTACAGGTGTGGACTTGTTTGAACAAAAGGGCATTGCCCAAGTTCTTGTTTGTTTATATTTTACATTTGCTCCATGCCTAAGGAAATTCCCCAGAACAGTTTAGTCAGAATAAAGCTGACATCATAAACAACTGTCTGTGTTAAATTATAATATTTAAAAACTGTATTCACATCATAAGTATATCTCAATTGATTTCTTAATTCCCAGAAACCATTGAAACAAGGCAAAGTAAATTTTAAGATTTACTATAAACATGTTATTTATAATAAACACTTTATTAAATAATAAAATGTGGGCATAGATAGCAGAAGGAAGGAAGGAAAAGAAGTAAGGAGGGAGAAAGTAGACTCCTATTTAGAGTTCTAGCCATGAAATTTTTAGGATATTCATTACAATCTTTTTCACATATTTTCCATTTATTTGTCTCCAAATAGAGGTTTAGCATTTTAGAGTGAACATACACAGTTCTCCAAGTGTTCTTTTGGTTCTCTTGTAGGGAATTTTATTCTAAAGAGAGTTTTTCTTTGGGCAAATATTGTAGTTGCCTTAAGCTTGCTGATACCTCCTATTTGTGTTTTTATCATGGTTATTCCTTTGAGCATATGTCACACACACACACACACACACACACCACCACCACCAATGAAGCACTCGGTGATAAAGCAGAAAATAAGACTGGACCAGCTTGGGATGAACCATGATGTGAAGGAAATTAAAAAATGCTTTCCATTTCACACAGGAAAGTGGGACAAGGAAGAGGAAGTGACTGACAATTATTAGATGTACAATTGTAGAATACCAATAAAGTAGAAATAGGAAATCGCCACTATAGCTGAAACAACTTGTTTGATTCTCCCGAGGATATGATTTGGCATGGAGTCATAATAGATTCCCACGGACCAAGAATGCAAGGGTTTTATCACAGAGTGAAGCAAGAATGACATTATAAAGGAAAAATGAGCAAATGCCTAAGAGAATTGAAGTTTTGTGCTTCTGGTGGACACTAGGCAGAAGATGGTTTATTTAACAATCCCAGCTACTTTATACAAAACTGTACTTCCTTTGTAAGTCCACTTGGAGTCAGTGTAATACAGGAACTAACCTAAAACTACCAGCATAGTGTTATCAGCAGGAAAAGTTAAATAATGAGGGAAATCAGAAGTGTTTTCTTAATGCTAATAATGATAATTTCAAAATCCCCCAAATCTGTAGAATTGATTACACTTTGCAGAATGACCAGCTGGAAATTATACAAGAAAAGAAAAGTACTTGTGCATTTTAACTAGTAGTAATGAAACAAACTATGTAAATGTATAACTCAAAAGACATATCTGAATGGATTTTTTTCATCTTTTTTCTTTTCTTTTCTTTTTATACTGGTAATTTTTCCATGATTTTTGACACCATGATACATTAACATAACAATCCATGATACAATACAATAATTTATAGATTATGGTATTGTTTTATTCAAACTTCAGAATTTATCAATGCAATTTATGCTAGGCATAGGTAACCAGGAATAATCAAAATGTTTTGGGTTATTGTGTCTGTATTACAGAATTTTATTCTAGAGGACATTTTTCTAAAAGGACATTTTGCTAGCCAAATAAGTTGTGGTTTATTTATTTTTCACTGATGAACTGTATTATTTTGGAGTGTGCATACTTTTTAAAAAAGATAATAGGATTTGAACAAGAAGTTTGTGACATGGTAGAAATTAATTGATTTATAGCAGAACCTTATGCAACTTTCATTTCCATGAAATTTATTTATTTATGAGTGACTCTGAAGGTATTTCTGAGAGTAGCAAAGTAGGTAACTTGGTTAGCTTTAGAATGCAGCAAGTTTTGGTTATATGATATCCAAAGCAAGCAATCCGAAAATCAACATTCTGTTCAAATTTAAGTAACTGGACTTTAATTCCCATGAAAACGTCCACCATGTATGGGGAAGGTGGGGGGAGATCAGGGAACTGGGGCTAAAACGGGGTATTTTGGTTTGTGTTCAGTGGAGACATAAGCTGCTGTGAGGACTTGGTGGGTTCCCTAAAGGCAGGGGTAAAATGCTGCTGGTTTTGGCAAACTGGTATTTCTGATGATCAGCTGGGCGATGATCAGCTGTGACACATGATTTATATTAGCTAGAATCGTTGGATTTCCTGCTTTCTAGCCAATCTAAATTGTGTGGCACAGCAGATTCCCCCCCTCGCTGTTCTACTTGCCTTTGCAGCAGGGGTGAAATGCTACCAGTTTGGACCGGTTCGCCCGAACCGGTAGTAAAAAATGTGTGATTTGTATTAGTTAGAATCGTCAGATTTCCTGCTTTCTAGTTCATCTGAATCGTGTGGCACAGTGGATTCCCTCTTTCCCCTGTTCTACTTACCTTTGCAGACTTGGAAGGCTTCAAAATGTTCTTTTAGCACTTTGTGGTCATGCCTCAGGTGTGCATGTGTGTGCTTGGTAGCAAACTCACCGAACCTGTAGCAGACTTCAGAGGATTACACCACTGCCTAAGGGCAAAACTTCCATCTCATCCAATTTTTTTTTTTTAAAAAACTTTTTTCATATTAGAGCTTTGTCTCTTGGTCAGGGCTTTTGGGGATTTTTAAAATGGTAACTGGTTCTGAAAAATATTGAAAACATCTATTTTAACAAATTTGGTAAGAACCAGATTGCCTTCCCTGAAGAGAATAGGATCTTCATCAATTCAATAAAGAGAGTTGTCATTCCTTCATTTATCCAGTTGGTAGACTCTATTGATAAAAGAATCTGTTCAATGTAAAATGTTTACCTAAATAACCTAATGAAAACCATTCCTTTCTATGTAGAAGGATCAGTAAATAAAATGGAGTTTTTACTTGATGGCATAAAGATAGTCATCAACTTATTTGTTTAATGAACATTCAAAGTTACATTGGCACTGAAAAAAGTGACTTATAACCAGTTCTCACACTTACGACCATTGCAGTATTCCCACAATCATGTGATCAAACTTCGGGTACTTGGCAACTGGCAGACAATTTCCATGATTGCAGCATCAAAGGGGCAATCTGAATTTACTTAATAAATGTGTGATTCATTTAACTGAAATGCATCACTTAACAATAGCAAGAGTTGTAAAATCAGATATGACTTTCTTAACAATGGCCTTCCTTAGCAATGGAAATGTTGGGCTCAATTGTGGTCTTAAGTCAAGGAGTACTTGTAATTAAAACATTTGGGTCTATATTCGGTCCCCATGTTGTATCACAGGGGTGCGAAACTGTATTTTTTCGAGGGTCAGATCAACATCGTAGTTTTCTGTGGGCCAGCTGGGGGGGAAGGGGATGGGGGGAGATGGGATGGACACCTTCTACAGCACCCTGCCTGGCAAAAGCCCCCCCTCCACCCCGTACCCGTTTCGGCCAGCAGAGTGCTACAGGAGGCTGTCCAGGCTAAAAACAGGGCACAGGGGCCGTGCATGGCCTCCCCACACCCGGTTTTGGCTGCCAGAGTCACCACAAACCAGTTCTTTGCTAATTCCATGCTGGCTCCACAGGCCAGATTTAAGCACTCTGTGGGCCGGATTTGGCCCACAGGCCTTGAGTTTGACACCCCTGCTGTAGGGAAACTACCAGCCTTCAAGCACTGAATAACCTTTCTGTCTCTGCCTGGTCTGGCTGTGAGGGTCTGAATAGGAAGAATAATTGAGGATAAACAAAGTTCCCCACTATGAGTGAAATTGTTATTTTCCTAGTCCAGAAAATGATCTGACCATAGCAAATGATTTACAGTAACTTCCTATATCTTAGATCATTCAATAACTGCTCAAAACAAAAATGAGACTTTGTGTATTCATCTGTGTGGGTTGGGGTGAGATTGTTTGAGACGGGCCCATGCCCGTCATGAAGGCCATGAGCTTTGACAAACTCTACCCCAAAGTAGGAAAATTGATGTCACCCAATACTAAGTCTAGGAATTCCAATTATAAGTCTGTCCTTCCAGAGTGGTTGGTACATGAACAGAATTTCTGGTCTGTTTGTTCAGCAACAAAACATACAGGGATTGACATCCTGGCTCTGGAGTGGACCTCCAGATCACATAAGTAATCTCAGAAATCTTTCTCAGAAGTGCATCATTACATTCACCATCACATTAAAGTTGTGGTTTGTGAAAGCTTAAGAACTTTCAGTCTTCAAAGATAGATGGAGTGGGAAACTGACTTCAAATAGACTAGTATCATATTCCCTAATAGGACCAGACCTTTTTAATAAACTACCAATGGACCTCAGGCAACCTCTTCACTTTGGATTTTGAGCAAACAGCTGGAAAACCATCTCTTTGTCCTGGGCTTTCCCTGAAACTTTAGTAGGGTTAGGGCTCAGTAGGGTCCTTTCAGATTTGATTTTAAACAACAACAATTTAATTTAATTTTTTTTTGTTTGAAACTTCAGTGTTCTTCTCACTATGGCAATCCTGCCCTGAGTGCTATGAAATAGTTAAGGTGAGGCAGAAATCTAATTAAGTAAATGAAAACTAGAAATAGGAACTAAAAAAATAGGAATAGGAACTTTCAGAAAAATTATTTCACCAGTAAGAGAGAAACTTTCTCAAACTGCTGTGTTACTGGAATTTCCCTATAGTAAGTTAGATAACTATTAGCTTAATTCATCTGCTCTGCAATATTTCTCTGTTGATGGGGCCTGGGCAGGGTGGTTTTCTGTGAAGGAATAATAATTAATGTAAACAAAATAGTATGTGACTGTTTGGGAGATAGTGTGCAGATTCTAGAACTAAGCCTCACAAAGAGCAAAATAATTAAAGTGTTTGCTGGATGAAATGACTGGCAGGAAAATGATCTTTACTGTAGTCATGTGATGGACCCTAGTGAACTAGTATCCATTATAAATTTTATAATACTTTTTTTATTCCAATCAGAGATAATTCATTGTTTCAGTAGTTCTTGCTATCCTGAGAAAGGCAAATGTAACTGTTACCTAAGAGAATCTTTCTTGAAAAAAGACTTTAGAATCAGCTGACCAATTGCTCACCTGTCCAAGAACAAGAAGCAATTGGTGGAAATTAATCAAGGAGAGAAGCAACTTAGAACTGAGGAGAAATTTCCTGACAGTTAAAACAATTAATCAGTGGAACAGCTTGCCTCCAGAAGTTGTGAATGCCCCAACACTGTAAGTCTTTATGAAGATGTTGGATAACCATTTGTCTGAAATAGTATAGGGTTTCCTGCCTAGGCAGGGGTTTGGACTAGAAGACCTCCAAGGTCCCTTCTAACTCTGCTATTGTATTGTATAAGGGTGCGTAGCACACTTTGCACAATGGAAAGATGGTCTAAAAATTTCCTTTGATGTCTACTTTGCAAGGAATGGTTTATCATCCTAAGGCATTTGAATTTAGAATCTTGAAACACAGATTCTTAAAGCCTTAGGTGTTTGAAGAATATTATCCCTGTATTTTCTCATTTTGCTAGCAGTAACATGAAAATAACACTGAGAGAGAAATAGTTTTTGACTGGAAGATCAACTACATTGCTCAACAAAAAAAGTTGATTGGGAAAAAGAATTTACAGAGGTGCTGAAATATACAAGTGCACACACCTGTAAGACCTCAAGATGATCACTCTCATTTTTTTTATTTTGTGGGATGGGAACATTAGCAATACTTTATCAAATATTTTCTTACTGCTTATTTTTATCCATGTCAAGTTAAACATTATATCTATTCCGAGTTCTGAAAATTAAATTTAATCAACTATGCTATAACAAAGTTCGCAAGCTGATTTAATTTAAGTGTAATAGACTTGTAATTTGTAATTAGTAATTTCAAAAGCAATTTCTCCCTTTTTCTTTCTTTGTTTCTGTATCACCACTATAGCACAAATAATGTTTTCTGAATTTATGTGATTTTTTTTAATTACGAAAAAATTGTATCATTTAAATGCTGTCTCATTAATTGTATTAGTGTATAAAACATATTTGTGTATAAACACTTTTGTTGCATTGATTATTAAACTATACTGACAACTAAATAACTATCCTCCCTGCATTTCTGTCTCATGTTTTTATACAGCTGTCATGTAAATCTTGATTTGGTACTCTTCTATATATTGAACAAGTCATATACTTGATTTTTACTGATTTGATAATAGATTTCTAACTTCAAAAGTTAAATTATTTTATTAGATAAATATGTTTTTTTATTTCTTAATGAAACATACAATAAAGTTATTGTTAACAGTTCTTTCTGTAGTATGAAATAAGAGAGAAAGCTGAAGATGCTGTTATTTCATTAAAATGTTAGTTCTTAAATCCAAACTGAATGATTTCAGAAAGACTACTCATAGCAATTAGTGTCTATATATATAAAATGAGCTGGAAATAATAGTACTATGCGGGTTGATCAGGGACTTTTATATATATTAAGTGATAATATGAATTTTCAAAGGGTTGGATTATATGTAAACATATTCAAATTAATATATACTTTTTCTATTTTTCTTTTACAATATGCATGTTCCGGTACTAAAACAAATAGGGTGTACTTGTCATTTGTGCGACAATTAAAAGAGTCTTAGAGCCCATGTAGGTATAAGAATCTTTTAATTGGTATAAAAAATTGGGGTGTAAGAAATAAAAGATTCTGTTCCATGCTGACCATTCAAAACTTTCTTTTAGACAAAACAAACTGGATAATATTTTCATCTCAAAATAACAGTCATAGCAGTTACAAATGATTAGCAAATGGTAGTTCACCTTTGTTTTTGGTGCACAGCTCAACAGCTCTTGTCATCAGGATATTTTTTTAAATATTCAACCTGGATCTCCTTTAACTTCAACCTACAGGTAATCCTTGACTTACAACAACTCATTTACTGACTGTTCAAAGTTACAATGGCACTGAAAAAAGTGACTTTTCACACTTAAGACCATTTCAGCATCCTCATGGTCATGGGATCAACATTCAGATGCTTGACAACTGACTTATACTTAGGACAGCATGTTGTAGTTCAGGTGCCCTGAGGTCATGTCATCACATTTGGTGACCTTCCGACCAGTAAAATCAGCAGGGAAGCTAGATTCACTTATCACCCATGTTACTAACTTAACAACTAAAGTGATTCATTTGATAACCAAGGCAGGTCGTAAAATGGAACAAAATCCACTTAACAATTGTCTCATTTAACAAAGGGGCTGGCCTTTGGAAACAGCATTTTGGCAGCCAAAATGGAGCACAGGATGTGGTGGTGTGCGAGGCATCCCCAAACCCCATTTTTGGCTGGGATGGTTTCCTGCAGCACTAGGCTGGCCAAAATGGGGCATGGGGGGTGCACATGACCCCCCACACTCAGTTTTGGTTGGCAGGTTACTGCAGGAAGCGTCCGTCCCATCTCCCCCCTCACCCCACCCTGGCTGGCATGCAGAGGAGAACTACAATGCTGATCTGGCCCTCAAAGAAATCCAATTTGACAACCCTGTTTTAAATTATGCTAATTTTGGGATATACAGTAGATATAAAAGACTTACAATCTTTTGTGCAGAGAGTATAAAGTTCTTTGCATTTACTTAGATGTTCTTGCTTTTCTTGCTGCACTACTTAGCAGAGAATACCGAACTGATACTTAGAACAGAATACACAGACAATGAAACCTCTGCTGTTGAACTGCAATGAAAGCTGATATTAAGCCAGCATGTTAGGATACTGTTCTGATAGCAAAGGCAGACAGCTTGGCACAAATATTTAGGCAATTATAGACAGGTCAACAGTTGTTTAATTAGAGACAAAGCTTCACCTGCAAAGTAAACATCCGGCCTTCTGGTGGCCAAGTCCAGAAAGCCTGTCTCACATTCCATCCATTTTGGTTATACAAGAGGCTAACCCGCACTCTCATTTCAAAGCCTGAGATGGGAGGATGAGGCTATCATGAAAGATAGCGATGCACTCAATTTTCATGCTGAGCGGTGAGTGATCCCATGGTAGCTGGTGACAAGTTAAGTTACAGACGGGGAGGAGGGGAAGCGAAAGCAAGCTTCATTCATTGTCAGTCTCCTCTTCCTGGCTCTCTCTCTGTGTCCAAGCTCCTTTCAGCCTTATTCATGAGCTGAGCAGTGGAGAAGAGAAAACTTATTTGCATTATATCTTTGCATTTAAAAGCTATAAATTAAAGGAAACTATAAATGTTTCTTCCTGGTAAATGTTATTGCTCATAAAAATCTGCATTTGCATCTGTGCTCCTTATTGAATTTTTCTCCTAGCTCAATAAATGCAAGAACTGTAACATAACTTCTGTATTCTGTAATACAATGAAGGGGAATGACCAGTCCTTTGTTCTTTGCTTCCCTGATGTATTGTTATCCACTGCCATGAGATCAAGCAATTCATAAATAAGCAGGGAATACTTTTGAACATTAGTTGAGTCTAGGGGCATTCTGAGAAATCGAGTAGGTATTAGAGGGGCTCAGCTTCTTCCAGCAAAATCTGGATGTGCAGTTGGTTTTACCTTGAAAAGGTTGTCATGTAGGATTGATATCAATAATCTAATGATGACAGAGAAGACCAATACTACCCCGTTTCCCTAAAAATAAGACTTCCCTGGATAATAAGCCCAATCAGGCTTTTGAGCGCACGGGCTAAAGTAATCCCTTCCCCAAAAATAAGCCCTCCCAAAAATATTGCAGTAGAGCAGCAGCCATGAGGTTGACCATGAGGTGACCATGCTCGCCACCTCCTGTACCTCAAAAATAATTAGACCTCCCCAAAAATAAGGCCAAGTGCTTCTTTTGAGGGTCAAAAGAAAATAAGACCCTGTCTTATTTTCAGGGAAGCATAGTAATGCAATTCTGGAGTCCTGTTGCTGAGTAGTATTCACATAAACGTTTCTTTTGCCTGTACTGTTGGTAACTAAAGCACCATTCAATCCTATACAAATGAAGACAAGGAACAATTGACCTGGAATTACAAAATGGAGGATGAAACCACCCTTCCAGAGATGATGCATGGCCTTGAATCTTCTTCCTCGTTCTCTCCAAAGTTTATTTTTTCCTGTCTTCGCTTTTGGAAACAGCTGCTCAGCGCAAATCAATTCTTTTCAAGATAAGACAGCTTGCTCCTCATACATCTTTCTGTAACTTTTAGGCTTCATTAAATACCTGAAATGGAAGATGAAATATAACTAGCAGTGGGTAGAGATCATAAATCTGATCCTGAAGCACAGTCATACAGTTTTGGAAATGACAAACTTACTCTGGGTCATACTTACTTCGTTTCCAAGGCAAGATATTTCATAAATATTGCTGCAGTGCTTTTTAAATTGTCCTCTTCTAAAATATGTGTGTGTGTACACACATATACATAAGTATGCACAAACATATATAACTACACACCATAAGAATTCCAGTTTGGTTTGTAGTTAAAGGCACAAGGTTTACAAAATTGTAAACCTTAAACATGAAGTCAGTTGGATGGCCTTGGATCAGTGCTCTTTTCAGCACTAAGCGGGTAATGGCGACCTACTTCCAAAAGTCACCTACTTGCCAAGAAAACTGAATGGATACATACTGTATGATGTATTTCTCTGAAGGTACTTATTTGGTTGCAGAATGTGACACAATTTTATTGTTTCTAATAGTACCTTGATTGAGACTCAGCTTTGCCAAAGGGTACATTCCACTTAAAATAATTTGGTGCTAAAGAATACAGGTTGATCAGAAGATGATACCATTTTTGGGGGGTGGGTGAGTTTTGTTCTGGGGAATTAAGGCAGAAACATTAGAAATATTTCTAAATACATTTATAATTTTTTCCTCATAGAACCAGTTAACAAATATATCTGCACAACTGCCCAGAATGAAAGACTGAACCAAGATGAGATGAAATAAGTTGTAAATTAAAACTTTCTTTGAATCCTGAGAATCCTTCCATTTCTCAAGTTGCTCTTGTTGGAATTCAGTCTGACCGTGAGGATTACTCTCACTTTTAGAGAACATTTATTAGCCCTTGAATACAACCATCCTCCTTTACTGAAGATTAACACAATCATTATTTTTTTTTGCTCACAGCTATTGTGGGATTGTGCAATCCTCTGAACTTGCTACAAATAGATATGGACCAAAGCTTTGTATCGAATATCAGATGTCCAAAGCCAATGAAAATATGCTCCTTATATTCTGGAAATTAATTACAAATCCCCAATTATAACTTGCTGTTGAATACATTCTAGTGCAGTAATTAACAGTTATGCATTTTAACCACATAGAAACTTTGCATATCATCTGGCCAACATGTAAAAACCTACAGTACATTTCTGTTAGTTATTAGTGGCTTTTTTTTTTTACTAGTGTTGATAAAATATCTATCCATTAAAAAAAAACAATTGACAGATTTGATCGCTGGCTGTGCACACCCATGCACTCCACAGTATTGCAATATAGTGCATCCTTTGTTGGAAAAGGGTCTAGATTTTGTTCTTGGCATCTCCAAGTAAGCCTGTGGGATGGTCTTGAAACTCATGGTCAAATAAACGTCAAAACCCTTCTGAAATGTTACCCTTTTCCTTCTCTGGGCTGAGATACCTTTGACATTTGTCTAGGCTGCACTAAACATGTGTGAATATGTGCATATACATTCTGGCATGTATGTCTGCTATGATTGTATGTGTTGCTTATCGTGGTCAGTCTAGTCATACATAATAAACCAGCATTGCACCCGACTTCTGG